AACTAACTATGCGGTAAAAGCTTTTAAAACGTTCCCTATGGCCAAATTTGGGTATGGTAGTTTTGTGTGATTTTACAGGCACACACAATTTTAAGGCTTGACATGTTTGGTGTCTATTTACCCTACGTGACCCCATCTTTTATGTTTTACAAAAAAAAAAAAATGGGTAATAATAAATGTTTTCATAACATAGGCAAAAACGTTGAAAGACGGCCGGACGGAAGTCTCCTTGATGCGGGTGGGCGAGCGGGAAGCTGCCAGGATTTTAAACGGGCAGCGATGGCTGTTTACATGCAAGCGGTCCGGCATCTGTAAAGACGCCCGATCACTTGTATGATGCAAGTGAGGGTGCGCCCCCCCTGCCCTCCTTAACTCTCGTCGCCGTCCCCGCGATCCCGGCCGTCCATCCATCCCGGGCGATGTGGCTCTGTGCACTGAGAACAGAGGGAGTTCAGTACGCGATCTCCCTTCGCTCTCCTCCAAGGCTCTCAATGCAGGAAGTGATGTATATTCCATCACTTCTGCATTTCTCTGTTACTCTCCGATACAGAAACCGGAGAGAAGCTGATAAAGCAGATCTGTGCTTCATCAGCCTCTCTGGGGGTCCCTAGGTGACATTAGGGATCTTAGAGACCCCTGATGTCTCCATAAAGGGGACCTGTAACTGTAATTTATCACATACGGGATTTCTTAGCACCCTATGTGATAACAATAAAGTTAAGCTCACAAAAAAAGTTAAGCACAAAAATTGCTCACAAAATAAACATTTACACACACAAAACAAAAACCCACCAGTTTTTTAAAAAGTCCCCCACCCCCACATAGATGCACAAAAATGCGTTAGATGCGCCTACACGCAAAAACGATTGCTCCAATTATGCTGCACGCGTTACATATCGCTGCGAACGTCGCAATGAGAGTAATAATTCTCGGGCCATCAATCACTGATAAGACTAAACTGATGAGCGATAAAATCTTTTAAAGCGTTTCCTATGACAAATTTCCGCTATGTTGGCTTTGCCGATTTCGCGGGCACGCGCAATTTTAAGGCTTGACATGTTTGGTGTCTATTTAACAGATGTGACCCCGCCTTTTATATTTTACCAAAAAATTGTGTAAAATAAATGTTTGCTAAAATAATGAAAGGGAAAACCATTAAAAAAAATAAATATTCTGTACTTTTTTTGTTATACCGGTATTAGTAAAAAATAAAACCCCCAGTGGTTAATAAATACCACCAAAAGAAAGCTCTATGTGTCACCAAAAAATGATATAAAATTAATTTCAGTACAGCGTTGCATGATGGAATAAACGTCAGCCAAAGTACCGCAGCGCTGAATACTGAAAAATGGCCGGGACAGGAAGGCGGTGTAAACACCCCGGTCAGCTAGTGGTTAAAAGGTATTATTTTTTTCTTTTTAACTATGCTAGGCTACCGTATATACTCGAGTATAAGCCGAGATTTTCAGCCCACTTTTTTGGGTGAAAAGTGCCCCCCTCGGCTTATACTCGAGTCAGAGAATACAGTTTTTCTATAACCCCTTCCCGACCGATGATAGAATGATCCCTTTACGATTGTTCAGTTCATTAATGACTGGTGCTGGGATAATTCCTTCATTCGGTCCAAGGCAGACCCTCAACAGCAGATTAGGTGGTCACAGTCCTGTAATAAAACCGAGAGCTGATCGCTGTGATCTCAGAGCTGTGACAGTCACACAGCTGGCTGCTGCTCACTGTGCGTGATTCTGTTTGTGTTCCAAAACTGATACAGGGTATCTCTAAAGCTGCCCATACACCTTACGATTATCGGACAAAACTTTTCGTCCGATGATCGAACCGTCGTACGATTTTCGTATGACGGCCCCATCATGCCCCGATTATCGAAAGGTTCAATCAGCGGTAGTTAAAAAACAAAACACCTGGACGACTTGCGGTAATTGACCGCAATTATTTTCGTTTGCGTAGTGTTAATCGTACGACTTTTGACGGACGGAAACGCCACCAACCATGCGAACATCGTACGATCGACCAAAGTTTTCAAACATGCTTAACCGTCAAAAGTCGTACGATTGTACAGTACTATCGGTCGGGCACTCTACGATTGTCGGACGAAAAGTCCATCGCATACGATTATCGTAAGGTGTATGGGCACCTTAAGGAGAATGCTCCTAGTTTAAAAAATAAATAACGTTTAAAAAAAAAATTCAATAAAAAAGTTTCATAAAAAGAAAATATAGTGCCGAGGAGACTATTTAAGATAGGAGAAAAACTTACTACATTCTAAAATTGTATTTCACTCCTTGTGACCTATAACTGACCTATAACTCCCAAAATAAACTGAAATCCCAAACATATGATATACACTATAAATCAGGACAAATAAAAAAATACATTATGAATTACTTTGTTAGCTACACTAATTATGTACACGTTATTATTGTCAAAACTGTGAAAAAGGTGTTTGTTTGTTTTTTTATTTAAAAAAAAGAATTTATATATGCATACTGGTGAAACTCGAATAATTAGAATATCGTGCAAAAGTAATTGCAGTAAGTGCTGCAAAAGGGGCCCAAACCAAGTACTGAGTACATATGCATGCTTGTACTTTTCAGAGGTCCGATATTGTTCTATGTACAATCCTTGTTTTATTGATTGCATGTAATAATCTACTTTTTTGAGGTTGTGGATTTGGGGTTCTTGGGGTTTTCATGAGCTGTAAGCCATAATCATCACAATTATGACAAATCACGGCTTGAATTATCTTGCTTTGCATGTAATGAGTCTATCTCATATATTAGTTTCACCTTTTAAGTTGCATTAGTGAAATAAATGAACTTTGCACGATATTCTAATTATTCGAGTTTCACCTGTATATCACATCAAATTAAAAGTGCATTACACTGTTTTTGTCCTTTAAAAAAACAGTGTAATGCATGAGGAAGATGGAAATTATGGTTAAACAAACACATAGCAAAAATGGCAAAATTGCTACACTCCCCAGAAGCGAAAACATTTTCTAAAGCGGTGTCGCTGAAGCTGGCCATACACCTTACGATTATCGTTCAATTGCTTTCGTCCCATCATCGAACCCCCGTTCGATTACTGCTCGAATACCTCATCATGAGCAGACCAATGTCGATTTAGATTAAGGTTCTTCAGCAATACTAACTGACCGAATTTTGTCGATCGAAAGAACGTATTTTCTTTGCGCATGTGCAGTGTTTTTTTTGTATGAAAATTCCACTAATCCATCGATTTTCGTACGATTCAAAAAAAGTTTTCCAGCCTGACCGTTCAAGGAAATTCGGCCAGTTGTAAAGTAATTGTGAGCATTCACTTCCCGATTATTGCATGAAAGCCCGATCGTGTTCGATTTCCGAATGATAATCGCAAGGTGTATGGGCACCTTAAGGGGTTAAGCCTTTAGGAAATATTTTCATGGATAACAACATAAATGATGCATCTGTTTTAGGGCCCGGTGTCAGGTGGTCTTCAATACCTTGTTCACTGGAAGGGTTATCCTGTTACGGAACGCTCCTGGGTACCTGCAAAGAATTTACATGCTTCTGCTCTAAAGGTGGCCATACACTCTAGAACCATCGCAATACACTCTAGAACCATCGCAAGACTTTAGTCTTGCGATGGTTGTACAGGGATTAAAAAAACGTACGATCTGCCTATCTTGGACAGGCAGATCGCACTCTCGATCATCACAAGCCCGCCCCCGAGGGGCGGGCTTCCGATGACCGCAATGCTGAACGGGCAGTGTGCACGTGCGCACACCGGCCCGTTCGGCATTTGTCTTCCGAGCACCGTTCTAACCAGCCAAGAATCATACGCTTCCCGGCTGGTTTTCGAACATGCTGGTTCGACAGAAGACGTGCGACCGTACAGGAGAAACGGTCGCACGTCTCCGTTCACACTGCCCGATTATCGTACGAAAAACCGATCGCATACGATTATCGTACGATAATCGTGCAGTGTATGGGCACCTTAATACTGCTCTCACCACTAAACCTCGCTAGGTCCCCACAGGGGTCCATTAGGATGGGGGCCCTGCCAGGTGCTTGTCTGCCCAGTACCTGTTTTCTGGCTGTGAGGATTTGAACCTGGGTCTCTGGGGTAGAAGTACTGAGGCATTGCCTTTCAGCCACAAGGAAGATTCACCTTTGCATTGCAGTTATCTATTCAGCAGCTTTTCTCTCTAGCTTCACCTGCTTGCCAGCTGCAGTCAATCCACAATCATCTCAGCCTTTAAATACACAGCACTCCCTGTGCTCTGAGCCTGTTTATTTGGGTTTGTTCCTGAGTATACTGCCGCTGGATTGATCGCTGAATATTACTGAGACTTTGGCATGTTTCCTGACTACTCTTCTGCCTGCTAATTTTATACCTCGGCCTGTTTCTCGACTACTCTCCTGGATCTTGATTTTGTACTTCACTGCCCGTCTGTTGCCGATTCCACTTGCCTGACTACGCCTAGCCTTATCCTCAGCCTCCCTCCACTTCGGACTCTACCTTTCCACAGGTACCTTACACCTGGTTCCTGACATTTGTCTACCGGAAGCTAAACCAGCCCTATCTAGTGCTAGCGTGCTTTAATACAATGCTCTTAACTACAAACACTAGGTATGAGATTAGAGCCAGACTCGTCCTGTATCGCTTCTCTTACATTTCAGCAACAAAAGGTACTCCTACTGTCAGCGTGATCTAAAATTCTAGTTGGTGTAAAACATAATAGATTTTTTTATCCAAAAGAAAAATCACACAGTCAACAAAAAAAGGGAATTGAACAACATGTGTTTTAATGCATCTGAGAAAATCATGGACTAGTTTTCTTTCCGATTACACATAGGAAACTCTCTTGAAATGATGTTAAGCTTCACTGATATTACATTGTTGTCTTTCCCTTTGATTTGCACTTAATTTTTATGTTTATCTTAGACAGTACAACATGACTGCACATATAAATTAGGACAGAGACTTTTAATAAAGTTCTTTTTAACATGTTTTTAATCATATTTTAATGGTGACCACTGTCTTTCTTTGGCGGAAAAAAAGCATATTCCACACCAAGTGACACGGCAAAGGCAAGAAACCCCCATTTAAAACCTCTGAAGAGAACTTGGGTTATTGTGGCAGGTTTAGAAAACTCTCCCATGAATCTCCAGGCTTCATTCCTGCAAAGAACAATATTAGAAAAAAAAAAGGTCAGCAAACATAAAATGGGTAAAAGAGAATATACAAGAACACACATATCAACTTAGGGGATCAGCATTGGTACAACACCCCTATGAAGACATCCTGTTGCGATGTAGGAGCATGCTGTTGCTACACTGGCTTTGGTTGGGATTGTCCTTTTTACCGTGACTGCGCCCACCTTTGTTGCCTCTCCTGCAGCCCCCTAGGAAGGGGGGTAACTGCTGTGCAGATGTGAATGTGCTTGTTCATGTAAGCTGGGTATATATGTATCTGTGACCTCTTGAAGAAGCTACTTTGTAGCAAAACGTGTAGCAGAAAGGAGCTTCTAGTCTTTATCCACGTTTTGAAGCGCTATATGTTTCATCTTCCAACAAGGGACTATCATGTGATGTGGTACCGCACATTATCATGGGGTTCCACTATCACAGCATGGTTGTAAAGTTTTTGTATGCATTTTTAACATGTGTAAATAAAATTGATGGTTTTTACATTGGATGTATGTTCTTGCTAGCTGGTTGTACCTTTTCTTCCTGGGTCTAAAAGAGAATTTACAACTTCTATCAAAGGGAAGGTTACTGCAAGCATAATATCAGATGTGCTGAAAGAGACTCACTGTCCCTGTTCTCATTCAGGCCAAAATGACTACCTCCTGATAGCCCAACTCCACAGACAGGTATATATACTGACCAACACTCCCTTGCTGCCTGATCTCTGATGGAATACACCTTGCTCCAGTTTTGGATGTCATAGAAGCTTACCTAGGTGTATGATCCCCCACCACAAAATGACAGTGTTGGCTGCTCGCCTTCATAGCATAATGTGGAGGAGTTTTTATAGTCCAGAAGAGAGAAATGGGCAGGGCTGACAACACTGCTGGGAATGTAAGTGCAGCAGAGGCAGAATTGTCGGCTCACTAAAGGAAATCAGAAGCTCAACGGGTATTTTTCTGTACTTGCAGCATTTTTAGGTGAAATGTACATGTATTGAAGAGATGTACCGAGTATATATTTTTTATTTGGTTTCATAAAACCACAATTTACCTTAACCATGGATCCCTCAAACCCCTTTTTGCGAGCCTGGCCTGAACTTCTTCCAGAGGTGTGCCCTCTATTTTCCATATCCTGTAATCTGGTATATGCAACTTCTTAGGCCCATGTCCGTGGTGCTCATGTCCATGACCCATACCTGTGTCAATGTTTAAACATTAAAAAGATCACACATGCATAGACATAAGCCTGTCTAAAATCAACTTTATAGAATAAAAAAAAAAGAAAACTACACACAAATTAAAGCTCAAGTCTGCACAAATCCGATTTTTGTAACTACTTATTAATCCGCAACAGAAAGGTTGCTCAGTTTTGCCATCATAATATTACTACAGTGCATACTGTTGTACCTACTGCAAAAATAGTCCTGTTAAAGTGTGAACGTTTGTATAGAAGCAACTTACAAGAGCAAATACTGCCATCTATGGGTGAGTTACCATACAGCTAAAAGCTCCTGTGTGACAGTCTAAGGGCTCATTCACACCACATCCAGATCATCTCCAGACCAGACCTGATTGTTTCCAGACCCAAAATGCATCCCAATGCTATTTCTGGCCTCCGTTCACACCAGTGCAGTCAGTTCCAGACCAGAAAAATACTGCATGTCTCATTTTGTCTGGTCTGGAATGCACTGGAACTGCAGCAGGTTTACACTATTTTCCGGACCAGATCTTTGAACTTGCCCTCAAACAGGTCTTAAATCCAATTACAATGTGGCACAAACCTCAAAGTAAACAAAAACTTATTTTACGCTCCCTGACTGAGCCAAATTCTTCTTTATTTCTGTCTCTCATGTTCCTGCTGCCAGACACTGCAGCTCATAGTGGGAGAATTTAAGCATCAAAAGGAAGTAATGTGAATCCAGAAAGCAGTGGGCAGGACTAGGTGTACCAAGGTGCTGATCAACAAATGACAGGCTTGTGAATTAGCAGTGATGATGCTGATAGCTACACCCCCTGTAACCTATGACACTGTAGTGCAAGCAGACACAATCTATATAAGAATAGCAACTCTGCTCTGGATTCAGGGGCAGTGCAGCATTCTTTTCAGGAAGTTGCATTCGGTGGACTTCACTGGCAGCCTCAACAGATATTTGTGGGACTGAGGGACCAAGAGAAAACTATAAGTGCGGATGCACCTAAAGTGACACTAAACTCAGGAGTTAAAGTGACAATAAGCCCTCAGATTTTTTAACATAAAACAATACTGTAATGTGCGCCTTACTGTAACCCTATAACTATTAGCAAAAATGTATCTTATTTGGGTATCACTCAGCTGTAGATCCTCAAATCATGTCTGAATTCATGCAGACACTGTCCACCATGGGAGGCCATAGTGCTACTTTAAAGTAGAAGTAAAGCTAAAAACAAAAACAAAAACAAAACCTGTCGATTGGCAGGCTTACTTTGGCAGAAGAGACTGTGTAAGGCGAGCTGAGATAAAATAATTCTTGTGACATGCGCAGGAGCCATGTCATTGGGCCTGGCCAATCAAGCAGCCACACATTCAAAACCTGGAAGACGACCGAAGTCTGCCATAATGTGCTAATATACTGTGCATGTTACTAGCACATTATGGCTAAATACTCCAGGGGGACTTTTAAGGAAAGGTAATAACGTGGACTGATGAATTAGCAATGTATTGGGAAGAAAAATTAATGTCGTTGGCCACAGTGACCAATCATGTTTCATCCTTTTAGTGGAAATGAAATCTGGAAACTGACTGGTCAGTGTATTTTAGTTTTCAAGAAAACAAAAAACATAAAAATATTTACACACTTCAGTCTACTTCCATGTGTTGTTTCCTATGAGTAACACTTTGAAGTGACCTTCAAGGCAAATCCCCCCCATGCTAGTGTAAGGACTTGCATTAAATGATGCCTCTTGATCCGATCATCTTCTTTCCAGTAGTTTTCAGGAGTCCCTCCAACGCTGGTGCCAGTCTCTGATCCAGCGCTGACTCCTGTCTCTTCCTGTCCCACGGAGTCTGTGCGGGTGCATGCTGCCTGCATTGACTTACCTTGTGTCTCCCCCTCTTCTCCCGGCTTAAGATCTGTACTCGCCCCATGATCCTTTGCGCCCGCTGAGACGGGAGCGCGCGGTGGAGACATAGGTCAGGTTTCATCCTCTTTAAACTTTTTTTTTTAGGTTTTTGCATATATCTACTGCTTGCTAGCAATAGATATATGCAAAAAAAACCCTGAGGGTTTATTTATTTAAATTTGTCTTCTTTCCTTGACCCAAGCAACAGTACTACATTTGCAGATGGGACTTCACAGATTTATCATCCCCCTGATCCTGTAATGGGTTAAAGGGACTTCGGGGAAATATTAGGAGTCTACACAGACCCCTGATATTTCCCTTCTAAAAAAGAAAAAAAAAAAAGAGAGACAGAGGACTCTGTGTCCTCAATCTCTTTTTCTGCAGCCCCAGTTATAAATGAACAGGAATCCTCCATACTGAGTGTTCCTGTTCATTCATAACTTGAGGACAGAGTAGGTTTACTATATCCACAATGATTAATGAACAGGAGGTGATGTAGATCACTTCTCATTCATTCATAATTGAGGCTATAGTAAACATACAATGTCCAATTATTTACAAACACTCAGCGGTTGCTGAGTGTTTGTACCTCGCTCTCCTTCCTGACAGCTGTCACAGGAGGCTGGGCGGGGCGGTGCAGGAGGAGAGCTCAGCCTCCTGTGACAGCACTGGCAGTCTCCACCCCCACACCGCTCTATCGATCTGTGACAGGAGGCTGAGTGGTGCGGAGAGACGCCGGCCGCCCACAGCGCTCTCCTCCCGCAACGCTCAGCCGCCTGTGCAGTTTCTCTCCTCCCCACTGGGACACAGAGCAGAGCCCAGCGGGGAAGAGAGAATAGGATGCACCGCTGAATCGGCAAGAAAATGGCACTTTTGACATTATGCCAAAAGTGCCATTTTCGCCCGATATGTTTCAGCGGCCGATATATGGGTGCATCCCTAGTCACAACAAAGCGGAAGTTTAGGAGGAATGGGAGAGCATCTATGAGAGTGATGTCACATTTTAAAGTTTATCTGGATCTATCAGGAAAACTTTTAGCATGTTGGACGACTTATGAAACAGAAGGCTTGTATCTTCTTTGATCATGCTTGCCGCTGTATTTTTCTAGAAAGTGAAACCTCAAACATTTCTTTTTCCATCTGGATAGAACTAGGAATGGTTAGACTCTTCCACAGGATTTTACTGCTGGGTGTCCACCCTCAGAAGATTTTTCATCTCTTAAAGTGTGTTTACCAGGACAGATGTAAAGCAGGGTTGGACAAATTTATACTGAATTCAGGAGCCAGTCTGTCCAATCCAGGAACCAACAATATATATTTTTTTTTTTAGGAACCAACTCCATTGACAATAACTAGAGAAAACCTCAAAAGGTTAGGTGCCAGCTGTAATATACCAGCGACAGTATGAGTAGCATTATTAGCTTGGGGGACTCTCTGTACAACGGGGAATGCTAGAATTCGTTGCACTACAGGGAACACCTGGGGAACTTCTACTACAGAAAAGCTGGGGGTGGCGGGAAAGGGGCTCATTGTCCTGAAGTGACAAGATCCAAACACTACTTTGATCGTTCAGGCACACACTCTAGATACATGTAGGTGTTCCTGTGTTTTTTCATTTGGTTTAATAAAGTGTGGCTGATTTTTTTTTAAATGAAAGTAAAACAATTTGTGAACTAAATGATCTATAGGTTTTTCTGATACATCAAATATACTCAAGAGGAGTCTGTTTTTAAATGAATTACAGTGACCCAATGTAGCTTGTGTGTAGCAATATTTCTCTCTCACTTGGGTTAAAGTTATATACAGGGCTTGAAAAATCTGATAGTGTCTCACCAGTCAGTCAAAAATTTCACCAGTCAGCATGACCGGACTATAGCCTTGCAATTTATGTTAAAAAAGTTTGGGGACAGATAGAGCTTTCTTTTGGAGGTATATAATCACCACGGGGGGTATTTTTTTAAAAACTATATAATAAAAAAAGTACCATAAATGTAGAAAAAACAAAACAATAAAGTTTCCCTACGTTATGTTTTAAAACATTTATTCTTACCCAAATTTTTTAGTAAAACATAAAAGTCGGGGTCACGTCGGGTAAATAGACACCAAACATGTCAAGCCTTAAAATTGCGTGCGCCAGCAATATCGCAAAAAACACCCATAGGCGACGATTAAAACGCTTTTACTGCTCATCAGTTTAGTGTTATCAGTGATTAAAGGAGAACTATGGGGTTAGGGATTTTCCCCGTAGTTCTCCTTAGGGTAAAAAGAGGACACAAACTAGCGTCCTCCAGTCACCCTAAGCTCAGTATATAGGGAGCTGCAGCTCGCGGTATACTGAGACACCGCAGCTGAAGCGGATCCCGACAATTATGTCTGGATCCGCCCAGCTGCGTGAGTGACAGCTGGCTCTGCCTATCTAGAGGCAGAGCCAGCTGTACCTGCCCCTCCCCCATCCATTCTGCCACTCAGCGCTGGCGGAGCGGGGAGGGGAATCCAGCCCCTCCCCTGTCACGGCTCTGTGCCGTGACAGGATCGAGAGGTGAGCGAACGCCGGTATGTGTTCGCTCACTTCCCGATCTACTGAGCCGACCTGTGACAGTGTCATTGTCACAGGTCGGCTAGAACTATGAGGTGAAAAGCACTCACCTCATAGTTCTCCTTTTGGCTGGGTTCCCACCTAGGTGTTCGAAATATACGTGTATGACGCGCGTTTTGGGGTGCATGTTTTAACCGCGATTTGCAGCCCTCAAAACGCGCATCACCATTGCGTGTTTACGAGGACTATCTGGCTGTATCCTAATGGATACGCGCGGTAATACGCCTCAAAGAAGCTCCTGTACTTCTTTGGGCGTAGGGCGTTTTTCAGCACGTTCCGACACGCCGAAATACGCCCAAGTAAGAACCATGCCCGTAGGAAATAATGGGATTTCACTTGCTGGGCGTTTTACAGCGCGTCGATCAGCGCTGTAAAACGCCCAGGTGTGAACCCGGCCTTAATGGCTCTAAAATTATTGCTCTCACTCCGACGTTTGCGGCGATATGCAACATGTGCGGCACGTAGGCGCACCCGACGCATATATGCGTGTGTATGTCGGGG